AAGTTCAGGTTGATGGAAGTCAGATGTCTTGGGCCTCTTGCTTCTTTAGGCTTGTAACTTAGACATGGTGGGTATTCTGTTTGAATCCATAGCCTCATTCCTTCTGGGTAGATTCCTGCTCTTTCTCCTCTGGAAGAAGAGCTTCAGACACTGTGTCCATATGAAGCCAAGCACAGCTTCTGCTTCAACTGCCCCATTGGGGTATTTGTCCCAATTATGAGGCTACATTGCCTCCAGCAAGTCCTGCCTGGAAACCACACTATGGTGTGCATCTATGGTTTTGTCACAGTTTGACCATTGTGTTGGTGCTTTTGCTGTTTGTTCTGATTTTTATGTTGAGATTGAATCCAGGGCCTGGTGTACCCTATGATGTACTCCGCTACCATGATGTGCTGCTAATCCCTAAGTCTGTGGTTTTAGAGGTTTTGAGGATTTTCAAAACCATTTTGATATGTTTTTCAATTTCTATATTGATAAAAGCCAAACAACGCTCTCAAATAAGCTTGTAATCCTTTTCATGAGAGAAGAACACTTCTGCCCTTAATTTACAGGGTAGTTCTTCACTTAATAAATAAGGCTGATGGCTCCTAATGGGCTCCAGGCTGAAAAGGAAAGAGATAAAATTAGGAAAATTAAAGACATTTGTTAATGTTTAAATTCGATCTACCCTCTGTCCCCATTGGTTACATCTGTAGATTAAGCCAGTTGTGCATTGATTGGTACTACAGTGGAAAAATTGTAACTCTGTTACAAGTGCAGAATAAACAGTTATTTACATAATGTTTGCATAGCATTCAGCATGCTATCTGGAGGTGGTTGGAGATGTTGTGGATAGACTTCATGGAAGTATCACACAATTTTATGTAAGGGACTTGAGCATGCAAGGATATTACATCTGTGAGGGTCGTGGAGCCAAGAGATCTCAAGGAATTGGTATGTTACTAACCTGCTAACCTGAGAAGTACAGAGAGGATGGTGGATTAAAGATCTCTCTCTCTCTCTCTCTCTCTCTCTCTCTCTCTCTCCCCCTCTCTCTCCCTCTCCCTCTCCCCCCCCCTCTCTCTCTCTCTCTCTCTCTCTCTCTCTCTGTCTCTCACTCATTACACTCATTATGATTGGCATTTTAGACATTTCCTAGAAAGTACACTTGTGCTATCTGAACAAAGCCTATGACATATAACTTGTTGGAAATAAAAATAAAAATGCGAGGAACTGAAGGTTGTTGAATAAAAAGCTTGAACTCTAGGCAGTATAATTTTTAGTACCAAGTCTTAGAGAGACACTATGGGCCACAGACTGTCTTTAATATTTTTCTTTTCAGTTTTTACCATGAGAGATTTCCTGTGGTGATGGAAATAACCTGCCTCTAGCTCCATCACCGGATCACCCATTCTGAGCCGGCATTGCCTTCAGTAAGGCCCGATAGGTGCCTGTCTCTCTCTGTGTTGATAATTCAAGTAGCTACCCACTACTTTTCTCCTCAGTTGCTTGATTTAACATAAGGAATACTATGACGCAGAGAATAAAATTATTTGCAGTGGTTTTATGACTGAAGAGAGGAGAAAATGTAGGCTACATTGTCCTCTTCGGGTCCCAGCAACCTCTGAAGTGAGGACTGTGGCTGGGGTTTCTCAAGGCTGGCCCATAGTCCCTTTACCAACCTCTTGTTCACTGCACAATCCTTTCAGACATAGTAACTCTAAACTTTTAGGAAACAACACCCAGAAAGGTAAGATAGAGCTCAACTGAAGAATTACAAGTTGCCGGGAGGCGACGGTGCAGGCCTTTAATCCCAGCACTCCGGAGGCAGAGGCAGAGGCAGGCGGATCTCTGTGAGTTCGAGGCCAGCCTGGTCTACAAGAGTTAGTTCCAGGACAGCCTCCAAAGCCACAGAGAATCCCTGTCTCGAAAAACCAAAAAAAAAAATTACATGTGAATATATTCTACAGCCAACAAATAGGAATCCAGTTCTAGAGTCTTTTTATACCCTTTACAATAGAATTTGTCCCCTCTCATGTAGAAAACTGGTCCTTCTTGTTGCTCTTCTTGGATTTAGTACCTCTGTGGAAGATATCATTATTCTCTCAGTTGCCTAAGTGTTTCCAGATCATCGTTTTGCTTTGTGTGCATGTGTTTATTTATTTAGAATTTAGGATGTTTATCATAAAACTTTACATCTTATACACTCTTACTGTTCTGTGAACTGTTGGCACTGTATTGTGTCACAATGATCCATCCCCTATTTGTCTTCTGTGACTGAAGCTTTACAATCATTGCAACTTAATTCATCGCCACCCACCCTACAGCTCCTGGCCACCACCATTTTGTTTGATGTCTGCGTGGATTTCCCTGGGTGGGATATTTCCTCTACATGGATTCATGTAGTATTTGACCTGTGGTGGGCTCGTTTATTCAGCGTACTGCCTTCATCATTCATCCATGGTGTACCGTATGTAAAGTTTCTTTTTTAAATATTAAGTAAACTCCCATCACGTTCCCCACTTTGGTTACCCATTCATCTTTTGTGGACACTTGAGTTGTTTCTGCTTTTTGATTATTGTGTATAGCCTCAGTACGAATGTGGATGTACAAGTATCTATTAGAATCCCTCTTTTTATTTCCTTTGGTAAAGTACCCAGATATTTTATTCCTCTACCACCATACTGTCATCCACAGTGCCTGAGTAATTTTCCTTATTATTAATGCTGCACAATTCTACTCTAGGGTAACCATTTCACTATGCCTTCTGTGTACATTTTTAAATTTGCTGTAGCAAAACTGATCAATTTTCTTATTTGCTGTCTGAAATTTTGATATTAAATGCATGACACCATTGCAAAATTAAATACCACAATGCTTCTCCATCTTCTAATAGTTTTACAGTTGTAGGTATGGCTAGTTATTTAACCTGTTTTGAATTTACTTTTGGATATGACGTGAAAGTATCCAAATTAATTCTTTTTGTAAATTAATTTTTAATTTTAATTTTAAATAGCTTGTTTTACATGTCAATCCCAGTTCCCTCTCCCTCCCCTCCTCCCGCACTACCCCATCCACCCCCCAAGCCTCCCGCCCTATTGCCATTTCCTTCCATATAGGGGTTATCTAGAGTCTGTCATTTCACTCAGGGTAGGGTCCAGGCACTCCCCTAAGAGTCCAGGCTAAGAGAGCATCCCTCTTTTGCATTCTTTTGCTCTTAGATATCCAGTTTTCCCAGCATCGTTTGCCAAAAAGGCTGCCATTTTTCCTCTTTAGATGTCTGATGACTTTGTTGAAAGCCTTTTGTCGGAACTGTATCTTTAGTGTCTGAATTATCAAGCGTGGCCTGTATGCTTCTTGGGCACAGCTGTTCCATGGCATTCTAAAATGCTCCACTGACATTATCATGACTCTGCTTAGCAACAGCTACTAAAACCAGTGTTTTCCCCAGCATTTATGGGTGTATGTGTATGCATGTGTATGTACTCCAAATCTCTCTCTTACAAGCTTTGTTACATGAACGGCACTCAGTACATTTCATACTTCCCACTTTCAGCCATCCAGGCTTTGTGTCTGCAAGCTCTTGCAATCTAGTGGCACTAGAAAACTCTGGAAGCCCAGAGTCTAATAAATACTCCACGAAACAACCAGCCTTCTGCCAGGAGTCTTGACTGATGTCATGTGACACAGCCTTCCCCGCTGCAGAATCTGAGGTTGTTGCGTGAGGAGACAGAACCCTGAGGAACCCAGAGAAGGTGAAGGAAGATGCCATTTGTCATATTAATGATCAGGAAATCCTAGTTTCAGGTTTGGAGTCAGTTTATCTGAAATCAATGTATCATATGTGTAGCATGTAGATTTGTTTTTGGGACTTCCATCCAAAATGCCAACAGCTCTTTGGAGCTATCACAGCTTGGTTGTGTTGTCAGACGCTGGGAGCTGCCTCACATTCATGACTATTGTTTTCATCTCATGGAAGTCCCTGGATTTCGATCCCTGAATGTGTGAGCCTAGAAGCTCAAAGATGCCTCAGTTCCAGAAGCAAAGTGCAGAGTCCATTTGTGAATGAGCAGCTATTCAGCAAAACTGAAGGAGGCCCATTGAAATAATTGCAGGAGCAAACAGTCTTGTTTCCATGGAAACTTTGTGTGGACAAGTTCATGCATCTTGATTATGTTCCTCCTGGGCGCATAAATATTCTGGAACTGGCTCCGTTCTCTCCTTAGACGATCCCTGAGTAGTGATGAAGGGGTTCCCTCCTGGACAGGGCATTGGCTCCTGAGCTCAGGGTCTGCAGAATCCCTCTTCCCTCACTGGTGGTGTTCAGCTCCTCTACAGGCAAGGGAAGAGGAACCTAAATTGTCCAGTTACCCTGCAAGGGATCTGTGCACACTGACTCTGTAACCTGCAGTGTGTGCTGCTCACAGGAGCTGTGCTCACTCACACATGAACCAGGGATATTTTTATTCACAAAAGTTTTGCTTCTTTGACTATAGCATTTTAACTGTGCACTAGACACGGGCATACCTCCTTATATAATAATGATAAGCTATGTTTTCATTTTTCTTTGGTGTTTGAACTTAATAGAATTTTGGTTTGAAACTGTAGTTTTTAAAAATATACCTCTGATATTTCTCACCTTGTAATTCAGCTCTATAGCTACTTCGACTTTAAATTACTTACGCAGTGTCTTAAATTTTATGTCATTTCTTTGCCGTAAAATTAACTTAAGTAACATAGAGTATCTTTATAGTCATCTGTTACTGGCAATTTGCAGTGAGCAACTGTCTTATTTTCCTACAGCTCAGTAAATATAAGGCAGGATCTCTCGTCCTTTTAGAGTTTAAGAAGGAAGACAAGCTGAGTTTAATTTTAAATGTGAATAGGTCCCCAAGAGAGATCCACCCACCTGTGCAGCATAGGCCTGGCTGTGAGTGGCTGAGCCCTCTGGACCCTGGGTTGTGCTCTCCACGTTTTACTGAACCATAAATTTCTAACATATATGTATTTTTTCTCCACAGTAAAACCAACTGTGATTGATGTGGACATTTACGTTAACAGCATTGGTCCTGTGTCATCCATAAACATGGTAAGAAGCACCTGGGTTTAGTTCAGCGGCTCTCATACCCCCATCATGCTTGCGGTTTCCAGTGGATTTCGCTGGAGTTTTATCCCACTGTACCTCCTCAAGTATTAAGTGATGCGCCGTTGAAAGTGGCCTTTAAGGGTCACGAGGGACAGCTTGTGACATAGGCAGTGAGCCCTTGCTCTGGAGATCAAGAACTGTCCCCCACTCTTACACTCACTGACAGTATGTGCCTTTCAGATGGGATTATTTGGGGGCTGTGTAGCCATTCTCTGTATGGCCTCGCTCATATTAGAGATGCGTGTAAGTGGCAGGCAACTTCTGGCGTGGATTCCGCGGCCAAGCCAGCTCTTGTTGGCTTACTTATCTGCTTCAGAGGGAATATAAAAGCAAATGTGTTGTCTTCCTGAGTGTATGGATTTCCATCAGGCAAACTGGGCACAGGGATTTCCCTGTGAAAGAAGTCATTCCCTTGTGGAAAGTGTTTAGCTGCTAAGCAAATGATGCTGTGTTAAAATGTGGCGCAGGGGGCTCTCCCAACATGTCTGCCTGCCGTGGCGTGCCTCCTGCCCGTAGACACTGTAGGAGTCTCAGAGCAGGTTATTTGATGTTGCCAACAATGTCCCGCACGGGACTTCTCTGTGCCTACTGCCTCTGAGTCTGTGAGATTTCTCGGAGAAAGGACAGGGAATTGCCAACTCCTCTGCGCATCCTTCTCAGGGCAGTGCGTTGCTGTGCGTGGGATTAACTCCTTCAAATCAATAGCCGGAAAGTCTCTCTTAGTTGCCAGATGTTACAAGTGTTCTTTGCGGACATAAAGCTTCCACGTCGTGGTAAAATTACGTTACAGGTTTCCTTTACAAGAAATAAAACATCTCAAGGGTGTGGCCAAGGGTATAATGATAGCATTGGTGAGGTTGCATGTGTAATCCATAGCACAAAACACAAAACCTCCAAACAGAAAATCAGTATCAATGTCATCTGTAAGTATGAGCAATGGGGTGAAATAAATAAAAGAAACTTACTTCACACAACCCACTGTCGGTAGATGGGATGTGTATTAAAATCAACTAGTGATGTGATCTTCCCTTACTTGGGAAGTAATCAACTCAGTTGGCTTTGCTGAGAAAGAGCTCATGTTTGTTTCTTACCCTGGGGTTTGGTTTGGTTGCCTTTCATCCACACATCTTCGTAGTGCCTTTGTGTCTTGGTCTAATTCATCTCTAACACTGAAAGTTCCTTGCAGACACATCAACCCTGTAGCGGGGATGGTGCACTAGCATTCCTGGAGGTTTGCCCAGGTCCTGCAGCTAGGAGATGTACTTTGTGCCCTGCATTATACTCTGGTTGGGCATGTTTGTGTGGAAATCAAATGTGCCAGAGGAGTGTGCTAAGTGATGTCGCCCACAGCCAGCAAGGACTTGGTTGAAGGTCAGACTTGTCCAAGACATGTCAGCAGGTTGGCACGGTTGGAACAACATTTTCCAATGAAGTCAATGCGGGCAGCCTTACAAGGTCCTCTGAGTGACAAAAATGCAGATGAGTGAATGTTGGATAAGAAGCATCCCGGGACCTAAGGGGCCAAGGCCCTAAGAGAGATGGGAGAGTTTTGAGCTATATGCTAGGTTTGAAAAAGTGTGGAAGCCTTCTTGGAATCTGCTCCAGGAATTAGTATGACCTCATAAGATCTCTGGGTAATTCTCTCTTCATCATTTGAAGTTATAAGATTTTTTTTTTCGTGAGATTGGGTGTTGTACGTCCCAGGCTGGCCTCAGATTTGCTGTGTAACCAAGATTACCTTGAACTTCTGATCTGAGTGCTGAGGTTATAGACATGTACCACCACCACTCCTGGTTCATGCAATTCTGTCAATCAACCCTGGGGCTCCGTGCAAGCTGAGCAAGTGCTTTACTAAGTGAAATACATCTCCACTCCCCATGCTAGGGTATAAATCTTGCGTTTCGGTCCTTTTGCCAAATAGTAAACAATGACTTACATCAGGGATGACAAGATAACCCAACAGGGAAAGACATTTGCTGTCAAGGCTAAAGACATTCAATGCCTGGATCTCACAGTTGTAAGGAGAGAACCGACCCCCACTAATTGTCTCCTCATTTGTTTATGTGCCTCATAGCATGCACATACACAGATACACAAATAAATAAATGCAATTTTAAAATTAAAAAAGGAGAGATCCTATACTTAAATTGACCCAAGGCATTCAGAGCCCTCAGAGGAAGATATCTGTGTTTCTATGCCTCATAGATTTTGTGTCAGCTGCCGCTTATTCTGAGAAATGAAAACTTCTACCTAGTGGTCTCTGGGTCCCAAAGGGACTAAACACAGACATGCAGTGCATCAGTGTCAGTCTGCTAAAGGGATTGGACCCCATCTTCATTTCACTGCCCAGCTGGAAGTTCTGAAATTAAAAATCTCAGTATTCTAAAAGTCAATAAAAATCCAGAGAGGATGGAAGCACTAGCAAGCCATTGTCTTTCTTAATTTGCTGATTGCTAAGTGGCTATTTAGGGAAAATCCTGTAACCTTACCAAACTCTCTTAACACTGTGGCTAAAGCTAAATGAAAACTTACACCCTGAAACCCTGACTGCAATTCCAAATGATGCTTTTGCCCATAACACAGTCTTGGAGAGTTGCTTTCGTTTCTGTCACGCACATTTTATTGCTGACTCAGCCCTCATTACCCACTTACATTCAGTTCCCTCCTCAGTCCCTATCAGTTTTCACAAGGTCCACATTTCATTTTTAAAGTGTCTTTCTTTCTGAACCTATGGTGTGGCTCTACGGCTATGTGAATGGAACCTTTTGCCATTCTGCCTCTCCGGCAGCAAAAGGACCTTCGAGAAACATCTTTGAGATTGCCTCAGGAGGCCATGGAGGCCTCCCAGGGGTCAGCCATGCTCATCATCCCAATGTGTACAGCTCCTGGTAGACACAGCACCGGATGTATTTGTGCCTTTGCCTGACTCAGAACAGGACTTTCTTTGTGTGATGCATGCGTATACAAGCGTGCGTGCTTTAGTGCGTGTTTAGGAGTGAGGAGTGGGAGTTAGTTTTCTCCTTCCACCTGTGAGTTCCAGCAGTAAAAACGGTCAGCCATGCTCATCATCCCAATCGGACTGGTAGACACAGATTGTGCAAGACCAAGAGAACTACAGTCAGAGGCATATGTAAGTTCATTCTTGAGAACTTCCAGTTTAAGTAGCCTCTTTCGGAGAGTTTAATCTCCAGGGTGTCGTACTGTGGAATTGCTCATTGTTCATATCTGTGTGGAGTCAAATGAAGCTCATTGAGATCACATGTGGAGGATTCTTAAGTATGATCAGATGGGGGTCACCCCAGGACATCCTCAAGGCCATGGAGTGAAATGCAGCTGTGTGTACTACAGAAATACCACTTCAGCTGCACACTGAGATGATGGGGGTTCAGCGTGACCCAGGGACAGGATTACTTTTCCTTTCTAAATATTGAAGTATTTAATTTTGGTTCCCTGCAATGTGGACAGGACAGTCAGGGAACCTGGGACATGCGCAGGCTAACAGGAGGGCTCTTCCTTTGCATCCTGAACTTTGCGTAACAAATATATGTCATTTAGAATCATATTTTCAGTTAGTATCTAGTGTGTCCCGCCTGTTTCTCCTCTCTCTACAAATCCTGGAAGCTGGTTTCATGAGAGCTCCGTGCCTTTGCTCTTTCTAGATGCTGTAGGACTGTGGCCATGCTCCACGTGGCTCCGCACCGATGCCTTCATTTTAAGTTCTGCCACCAGCTTATCTGTGGAAGCCCAGTCACCCATTGCCATGTGAGAATAAGGAATAGCCATTAAAGTATACATTGCAACAATTTGTAACCTAAGTATTCGGAATCGGTAGCATGCCGCACAATCCTGAGGGTGATGGGGGGAACAGTGAGACCCCCCAACCTCACTCTTGTTGTCCCTTTAGACAGGTAGTTTTGAGAGAGGACACCAGGTAACCACGACCACTCCAGAGAGGTCAGTAACCCTGGAAGGCGATCTCTTTTTTTATAGAACTTCCTGGAAGGTACACAGATTCATGGAAAGCCAAAAGAAATGAAGGCTGTAGCAACACAAAGGAAGTCTTGATTTTCTTCATGTTTTTTTTTTCACTCAAGGTGTGTAGCATTTTTGAATTTGTAGTTTGATACCCTATGTTCATGCTTGAAAAAAAAGTTACTCTTTTTTTCCTTTTTTTGATTGACATGATTTCACATATATAAGGGTTACAATGCAATGTTTAGTTTCAAGTAAACACCATGGGATTATGAAATGCAGGCAAGTCAAACATCCAAGACCATGTCTATTTTTTTTCTTTGTGGAAAGAACATTGCCTACAGTCAAGATGCAAAGTGAATTTGTCAATCACCAATGAAGAGACTATAGTCCACACGGACAATGGGATATTATTTTGCCAATATAGACATCCATAGGAACATGAGTGGACCTCGAAGATGTTATATGGAGCCAAGAAAGAAAGACAGATACCCACAGTCCCACTTTTATATAGGTATCAAATGTTATTTCTTAAGAGGATAGGAAAGTCATTGCCAGAGTCTAGGTAAGAGATAATGGAAAGGGAACAGGAGAAGTTCACCAATGGTACAATGACCACAGTTAAAGAAGGTGAACAAATTCTCATGTTCAGAGTTCCCAGGAGAGCATGAGCGTGTAGAACATCTCAGGAGCCAGAAAGAACTTTGGGTGTTCTAGCTGTTCTCGCTTACATTGCTTCAGTATTGTTTTCTTTCCTATATTTTGTGTTTCTAGTCACCCAGAACCTTCCATACCTCCTTTCCCCCTACTGTCTTTGCTCTTTCTTCCTCCTTTTGTGCTCGATGCTGTACTTGGTGTACGCCTTCCCAACCCACCTTTTAATTGCCAGGTCTTTTTTCCCCATCTGTTCTAGGGTAGAAGAGACAAATGGAAGCCACGTATCTATTCAGTTGTAAAGTCTAGTATTTTCT